TATAATAAGTTGCAAAAAGATTATCCCATGACTACCACTGCTTTTTAATGGCTGAATTTAAAGGGTTGTAATAAGAACACATTTTCATATGCCCGAAAATACTATTTTTTATGTTAAAGCTTAGACATTTTGCACAAAGCACTCACTGCCTTGTTGACATCTACAAAATTTATAGAAATCACGCTCATGGAGTCGAAAATGACCACAAAAATTACATGTACTCATATTTATAAAGTAAACATGCCTTAAAGGTATTTTCTTTCAACACAATGTTGCAAGCATAGATATTTACTTTATGCAAATTCATTTTAGATCGATTGTGTTGGAAGCTATAAGCTTATTGAAACACTCACGAATCCGTTCCTGGAACCAACCAAGCAATAAATGTAAACTTTCTTGCTCCAGGAAACAACGGATTGCTAATGACGGGATTTGAACCCACGCCGTCAGCAGTCCTTGGATTACTAGTTCGACGCGTTAACCACTCGGCCACATAGATATTTAGCACATATCATAACTTTGTTGGCTTTTAAAAAGCAAAATGATTACTTTTGAACAAATCATGAACATAAGGTGAGTTTGTCTGTGTGGGTATTGATACTATTCATGTAAAGAGAGGTAATAAAATTAGGTATATATTTTTGATTATTTAAGGCATAATACTTTGTGCTTTTGAATTTCCACATAATTTTTACGTTTCTTTGATTTTTCATCATTTAAAAAACAACATTATTGTTGTTTTCGGTCAGTATATACATTCCATAGAAATTGCATGGAGATAAATTGTCACAACATTGTGCTTCAAACTTTACCTTTTAACCTTTTACCGCATGAGCATATTGTGAAAAATGGCCGTTTTCATTGAAAAGCCCCCTGTCACAAGTTCAATTTGCCATGAAACTATAAAAATGCTTCAATACTGATCGAACTTGGCACAAATGATGACTGGACCATAGCCTTAGTAACAGCATGCTCAATCTTAAAGTTCCTGGCTAAAAAATGCCAAAAATCACTATTTTGCGTTGTAAAACTGATTTCAAAGTGCTGCAACTTCTCAATTGATTGAGATAGAGTAAAAAGCTTTTCAGCGTTGGTTGCACCATCCTCACACCTCCTAGCATCGGTTTCAGTGGTATTCAATTTGCACCACTTATTAACGTGCAATCAATGATGCCAAAAGACCAGAAAATATAACAATACTGAAGTGAAGAATGGGGCAACGTTTTTACAACTGCCACATGTCACTTAACACCTGCTTATTGTGAAGTATAAATCTATGGTAAAAGGCACCTAATTGAATACACTTCTTTACTTCCAATTGCAACTTTTCGGCCCTTTCCGTAAGTCGTCGGAAAAGGACTTGGATACACAGAACGGAATCGATTGTTTACAACCCCCGCCCCCAAAAAAACATTAAAAAAACAAAAAAAAAAAACAAAAAAAAAAAAAACAACAAACAAAAAAGCCCCAAAAACAACAAACAAAAACACAACAAAATAAACAACAACAACAAAAAAACAAAAAAAAAAAAAAAATGAGATAAAAAAGTAAGTGTTAAACTAATATATTTCTTATTTCATCTCTAAATCAAATTTTATCTATAAAAGTATACCTAATTGATGCAAAAATACCCAAGCCATTAATAATCTTCAAAAAATCCAAATGAATTAATAAATGTTAAATATAAAGTCTGGCGAATCGTAATTAAAGTAGGGCGATTAGTTATGGAGCGAATCGTCAGTGGGTTTGATCGTTATATTACCTTCATTATACATTTTCAAAGATAACAGGCTCTATTTTTGTTTCAACCTAAAACCATGTGGTAGAACTACTAATTCCAAGGTTATTACGTATGAATAATAGCCCAGGATGTTCCGATTGCGTTACTTCATGTAAGTCGGTAGTGGGACATTCGACATATGCAGTAGATTACTGTCTGATTTATTTAAGCAATGATTGTCATCGTGTTATAACTTTACTGTTTCGGACTTCAGTGAAAAACAATCCAGTTTGTTCAAGAATAATATTGTGTCGCAATATATGTTCACTGCAACTAAAACTAACCAATAGAGCCTAATTTAAATGATATATCGGAGAAATGTTTATTATTTAAGATGTATTATATCATTTCATGCAACGTATCATGAGAATTAAGATCGGACTTGAAGTTTTCGAGTTATAGAAAGTTGAATGAGATCTATTGGACCTATTTTTGTAAGTGGCATTTTCAGCACAAGCGATTGCCAATGATAACAGGCGATCGATATAGCGTCGTTTTGGGACCTTTCTGTTTCAAATGTGTCCGAGTTAAATCGGTTACATATACACTCACCGTGCGTTAAATGGAGTGCAGGTATTAGTTACCCGTACTCTAGAGCACGTCCATTGATTGGCTCATTTTTGCTTGGGTTTACTTATTGTGACGGCAGAGAAAGAGAAAGCGACAGAAATGTCATATGTAGATACTCGTTTATTGGTTACTTTTCTCCGGGGTTTCATATTGTGACAACAGGGAACGTGTTTTTATGTCTGACTATGATACAAAAGAGAAAGAACACCAAAACACTCAGCAATTTGATTAATACTCGGGAGCTACGCCCCCTCGTATAAATCAGATAGCCTCGTGTTTCGATGCTCTTTCTGTTACTTATCTTCAAATATCTTTTGAAGATAATTAATGCCGTATTTATAAAATTACCGAATTGATTTCTTGTTGTCATTTCGCAATTTCGATGTAAAAGTACGTCATGTATGTTTCGATTCTTCTTGATTAAATGAAACACACGATGAATACATAATTGTATCGCATAACTTATCGCATAACTGATATTTATCATCATGACCTTAACTAGATTAAAGCTGATTAGATATTTTGACAGTACCTAATATGTTAAGCTGGTTATGATGGAGAGTCAAAATGTAAATAGCATGTATACTGGTACTGTTATCTATTATCATATATGTACTACTTTATCTTGTTTATTTGCACGGCGGTTTAATTTGGCAAAATATGCTCACTGAAAAACTGATTATCTAATGTTTGTCTGCTAAGCATGAAACAAACTAAGTCAACATCCTAATTTCATTCGCCAGTTCGCCTTTTTATGTAAAAGGGGGTATAAAATCTACATAAAGTAATTATATGGCTGCAACATATCAATAGAGCCATCATTCACTAAGATCAGACTAAATGAAAACTGAGAGTAATTGTGTTTTTGTAGTCATGAAAGTAGCAGATGCAGTGTAAACCAAGAAGTGTTTTGACTTCATTAAAAAAATCAGTCACTATTATTGTACATAGTGTCAAAAGGCAGAAGAATCAGAGTGTTAAGGTACTTGGCTAATAATTAACTTCGTTAAATTATAAAAGTACGCAAAAAACGTTTGAGAAATAAAAATAAAGAGTTTTCTCGGACATTATGGGACTTTAAAGCAGCACGCCTCCAAATTCTTGAAAATTTTGAAAATGTATTTGAATGTTTAATATTGTGAATTAACCAAAAGGAAGCAGTTTATACATTATCAATGGCACTTACAAACTACGTAAATCACTAAAAAATGGTCCAAATATGCATAAATAGCCTTTACTGCATTAGTAACGCAGTAGAAATATAGTTGTAAATACTGAAAATCAGTCATTAATCGCACATAATATGCACATATTACTTGCATCTTGAAACTTTTTACTTTTCCCTAAAATATTAGTATATTTTTCTCAAGTTTGATTTTATTGAAATATTTTGACTCATCTGGAGGCGTGTAGGTTTAAGGAGTTTAGAAGGTTGTGTTTTTATGTAAGAATGTTTCTGTTTAAGAAATGACTATATACCATCATGTAATACTTCCGCTTTGGTGTTTAATTTTATTTATATAATCATTATTGTTCTTGATCGGTTAAAATTCTAAATTTAATAGCAAATATGGTACCTGATACTTCAATGTCTAATTAAAATGTTTAACATTTAAAATGATCAATTAAAATGATGAATAAGGCGAACTTCGGAAACAGCTCTTCAGGCTCTCTAAGTAGAAAACATGATCAACAGGTGATAAAATGGGTTTGTCGGGAACATTCTATACATATTTCAAACATTTTAAGTAATAACAATAATGTTACTTGTGTGATTTGTTAGCTGAATAATATTATTTGTTTCTTTAAAATAATAAAAAGGAAAATATTCTTCCTAAAGCATATATTTGGCCTTTTGTCAATTTTCGAGTTCTATTTTGTGCCCATAAAGGGTCAAATGATACGTATATAATGCCCTGAAAAAGAGTTCACTGAAACAAATAAGATGCATAGGGGAATGAGAGGTGTTGCCGTATGAAATACAGATTCAATTAACAGAACCGATTTGTTCTTTTCTTATCTAGAGACAGAAACATATATTCTTAGAGAAAAATACTTACTTTTTAATTAAATCGTGCAGTTGGGTCATAAGAAAAATGCTTTCCGATTTTATATAATGCACCTGCAGTGATCGATGAAGGATCAAAGTCTGTTGTATATCAAATATATATTAATGAGGGAGTCTTGTATGATACATGTTCTAGATAGATAATCATATCTACATACGTACGGTGTTTGAACTTTGAATTTTACGCTTAATAACATTACATGAAATACTTAATAAATGATAAGAGATAACTGGCTTATTACACGTATAACTTATTTCACTGTTACACTTATAACGGGTATGAACAATATAGAAGATTTTGAGAAATTCCACATTATTTTCTTAAAGCTTACATGAATATACTTAGTTCTCTATTCTTTGTAATGTAAAAATTATATTATATATATTAGATTGTAAATTTTCGCGAATACATGCCTAAAAGAAATGTTTTAAAGTAAGGACAAGTACGATTTTCTTTTTTTCAAGTAAGTAATAAATTTACTGTTTTTGTCTCATTTACACAGTTTAAGTGAGTAAACATAATGGATTTATTGGTTATTTTTACACGTTGCATTATCTTATACCAGGAGAAATTCGAATCGTTCTCTTACAGAAGTATGGCATGCTCTAGGTCAGACGTTGAGCGATTAGAGCAGTCTAGGTCTAACCATTTAGTCGTGGCTGCAATCGACTTTGGAACAACGTATACAGGATTTGCTTACTCGTTTAAGAGTGATTCGACAAAAATAGTAACAAGTAGATGGACAGGTGAAAATGTGCGCACAGCTACAGAAAAAGCACCTACATGTGTACTGCTTTCACCAGACAAGCGGTTCGTTGCTTTTGGATATGAAGCAGAAGAAAAGTATAAAGAACTATTGGAAGAAGATGCGAAAAATGCTGATGGACATTACTTTTTTGAGCGGTTCAAAATGAAGCTTTATGAAACAAAGGTTTAAACGATTTATTATTTATTTTTACCTAAAAATTCAATATAGAGCTTACCGTAAAACTGATCGGAATTGAAAACTATTAAACTAAATACTGGATCTTCTTATAAAATTAGACTTCATTGTAAACACTAGTTACTTTATAAAGCATAAACGTCATTATTTAAAACAACTTTTTACTGAAAACTTATAACGAATTAATTAATTTGAAAATGATTCATTTTTAGCATCATATACGATGTCTTGTACTGTAAATTTTAAGCTATGGTTTTCAGAATCTTAAATTGGATACACTCATAACGGATGCGGTAGGCAAAGAGCTGCCAGCTATCGACGTTTTTGCAGTTGTCATAACGCACATAAAAGAAAAAGTTTATAAGCAGTTAAAAAGTACTTATTCCGGATTTAACGAAGATAGTGATATTCTTTGGGTGTTAACTGTCCCCGCAATATGGTCCGAGTCTGCAAAACAGTTCATGAGAAAAGCAGCAAATGAGGTAAATTCATAGACACATTGTTAACAGAATCGTCATCTTAACAAACACGAAGCTTTTACTATGTTTTTCTTATATTCAAGATTATGCAATTAGTTGACGTTTTGAATTTCTTAAACAAATATTGTATTTTCATTTTTAATTTTCTACATTTTTGTGTTGCATTTTTTGCATACAATTGTATTTTTACAATGATTTTCATCATCTGAAAATGTTTGAGATCATCATCTTTTTAATTAAGGCCGGACTTAAGGCTGAGAACGTAAGACTAATTTTGGAACCAGAGGCTGCATCTCTTTATTGCAATGACAAACATTTGTGCAAAGTAACACTAGCAAATGGGGACAATATGGCAGAAAAATTACCAGAAGGCACACAATACATAGTGGCTGATTTAGGAGGTATTTATTATAATAATATCCTTTGTACGTTTTCCAACCAAATAAAGATACGTAAACATTACAAAATGATATGGAACATTTCACTTTTATCATTTAACCGTGTTTTCTGTCTCACTGTTTAAGCAGTTTTATTTTTTCGCATTATTAAAGATATCCTAATGTTTCTCATTTTCTTATAAGGATAAAAAAGTTGAAACATCTGTATATCTTGTAGGTGGGACAGCTGATATTTCTGTTCATGAAGTTTTAAAGAGCAGAAATCTTAGAGAAATCCAAAGAGCCAGAGGAGACGCTTTAGGTGGTATGATGGTTGATCAGGAGTTTTTGAAGTTCCTGGAAGAGATTTTCGGAACCGATGTTTTTCGTCTGTTTTCAAACAAATATCGCCATCATTTAATGGATATTCAGTTGAACTTTGAAACAAAGAAAAGGACACTAAACCTTAAATCATCTGATGATATCAAAATTAAACTTCCGATTTCTCAATTGAATGGCGTGCTATCGGAGCTGAAAGAGGAGAATGTAAAAAATAAGATTAGAGAATTCTCTAAGAAGGCTGGCTTTCAATCACTCAAATTGATTACAGATAAATTATGCTTTGAAAAAGTAATTATGGAAATGTTCTTTGAAAACGCAAAAGATGGCATACTTAAGCTACTTGATGAAGTGCTAGAAAAAGACAAGCTTACAGACAAGATCAATTTGCTAATGGTAGGTGGGTTTTCAGAGTCTGTATATGTCCAAGATGTCATCAAGCAGAAATTTCCGAATTTAACAGTTCTCGTTCCACAAGATCCATCCCTTTCTGTACTGAAAGGAGCTGTTACTGTTGGACACAACCCAAAGACAATCACCGAGCGAATCGCAAGGTACACTTACGGATTTTCAATTTCAAGGCCGTTCAATGATGGAAGAGACCCACTGGATTTAAAAGTACTTCGAAATGGACAAAAGATTTGCAAGAATGTCTTTTTTAAGCTGATAACAAAAGGTGGTGTTCTCAAGATTGGAGACCATTTTGACATGCCATATAATCACAAATTGGAAAATACTAACATCCTTCGGGAGGCAATGCGAATGTTGCCTCTATCTGCATATGTCTACAGATCAGAAGAAAACGATCCAAAATACACTGAAGAAAAGTTTGGTTGCGAACTGGTTGGAAAAGTAACTATTCCACCACCACCTTCTGGATGGCCACATAGTTCCTCTCTTGTGTATGAGCTGGTAGTTGGTGAGGCAGAATTTACAGTTCGTGCACTAAATCTGAAAACGAACATGAAAACTGAAGGGCAACTAGACTTTTTGGAAACAAATCGTAAGCAATGCTATTTTCTATGCCTTTATGTTCAATTCATTTCATCAGAACATGTCCAAATATTAACCACAGGATAGTTGGTGGCAGTTACGCATACCTGTTTTGTTCTACACACTAGTCTTCAAATATGTGAATGGACATTTAAATAAGTAATGCATGATTTTAATATAACTGTCAAGTCGTTTCGATTTAGTCAATCTATCTATGTATTATGCTATTTGATTTGTTTGTATGTTTATGAAATCACCATGTTCTGTTTTCAGAGAGAGAAGTTTCCAAGTTTGCAGTGTCAAGTTGATAAGGGAGTTTTTTGGTCAAGTGAGGAAATTGTTCTGGTGTCATATCAATTTGTATGAATATTTCGAGTGTAAATTATAACAATCAATTAGTGTCTGCCTTACGAGTGATATTGTCAGTTATTTGAATCATTGAACTTAATGAGAAAGGATAATACTGTCTGTGATTATAGTTTTTGATCACCGGTTATATTTAAGAAATTATCAAAATACAGGCAAAAATGTTTGCTGAACTTTATATTACTTTAGTAATTTTAACCATTGTAATATGATATTTTTCTAAAGGATATTTACTTATGAAAAAAATGTTGTCAAATCACATTAAAACTTCTATATAGTGATTTGATTGGCCGCATTCCAATCACAACCTTCATGCAACCATAGGAAACGACACGTGACTTTCAAATGGAAGCCTATCATTCTACGAAAAAATCAACTGTTTTACCCGCAAATTGTCTTTTTTGTAAAAAAAAAACAAACGTAATTTTGTCTAATTTGGAAACCAAATTTATTCATAAACTGAACACAATTTCAAACAAAAGTTTTTATTTGTTGTAAATTGCAAGTATCCTAGTTTCACATCACTTAAAATAACAACTTGCGCAGATCTCAAATATCCAAATATTCACTAGAAAGTTTGTTTCCAATACTCTTTCAGATTAATTTATAATTCGGAAGTTTATACGTTTTAGAAAATTCCTTTATATTATTATACTCATTTCAGAATGGCCAACGGGATTCTCAGATTTCAGTTTGCAATTTTGAAATGACATATGAAAGTCATATTTATATTTGTTTTTTTTTTCCTGCAAATTTAAATAATTGTGATGGCAATGATTTGCGTTGCGAAATATAGGAGGACCACTGCTTATAAATTTTATTGCATAATGCAAATGAATACTTATACAAAGATTTTAGTTTGAGCTTTCTGTCAAAACCAATTGACACTAGTGAATTTTAATTATGATATGCCTCCTCAATCCATAGAAATGCAAAGAAGTGTGAATAAAACTGACTGTAGTTAAATGTAAAATATAATGGACTAAACAATTCAATCATTATACAACATCAAGATGACATAATGTCTCGGTCGAGTTGATCTTACTTGGCTATATATTGGCACTGGTCATTGACAAATGAAAAAGGTTAAGGATAAATTATAAAAACTGCTCAAAATATAGGAAAAGAGTGTCTAACACGTTCATAAAAACCTTGACGATGTATTCCGAAGAATGTAGAAGTAAAAAAAAGCACAAAACAATGATGCTTCATGCCAATCATCTAAGCTTTAACATAAAATTACAATGGGATATCATAGCAACGTACCAGCAGGCACTAGTACATATGGGCAATGTACGTCTCTGTCGCCTGAAAGAAAACTATCCTCAGCTTGTGATACACAGAGGCATAATTCGTCATGCGTGCATGGCGGAGAGAGTTGTTAATCCTATGTATCAGAACCCTTGCAACACTCCATATTTCCAGATGGAGTAGAAAGACAGAAGAGAGCTGAGGTTGAAGTCAGATGAACAGTGAGTAGTGAATAAGCTGGAGGAGAGACGAATGAGGGACAGCCGGAAGCGTCAAGAAAGGGCATGGTATGAAGTATAAGATCTACGGTACGCCATGTCGAGTTGGACTACATTGATGAATGACATTGCTAAATGTTTTGTTATGCATTTGCTGTGTTGTTGTTTGTCTTTCGGTTTAATATTGGTTCTTTCGATTAAGATTTACATTTTCATTGGTCGACTTGATTTAATTTATTCAATTAGTTTAGAATTCGTCCTTAACTATACTGTTTTTTTGTCTTGATAACTGGCCGACAGGTCAGTTCGCTTTTAAGCATAAGAGTTTTGACCACTTTCAAAACTTATACAATGACTGACACAATTTTCATTTATATGATTTATGAATAGACTTATTTCATTTTTCTAATCTAAACTGTAATTGTTATGATACACCTTCAATAAAAAGAATTCTGATAATAATTTTGTACAATTATAACATAAATAAATCTTTGATCGTTTAAATCTCGACTTGTTTTTAATTAAATAGAGCTAACTGAAAGTAGCGTCGTCCATAAACCACCATCTTAGTTACCGTTTTGCAGAACCTGGCAATATAGTGCCATTTAAAATTAACTATACAATTACGTGTTGTTGGTCTTTTTATTTGGCCATTTCTGTAAATTATGCGAGCATCACTGAGTGCAGGGCTTGATTCAACTATTACAAAAAACAGGCTATGTCCCAAGTCTAACTTTTATCATTTTTTTCCACCACTTATTAAGAAAATATATGGGATTAGTTACTATTTGATTGAGGAATTGGTAATGTGTAGTAAGTTATTCAGGAATGTGTGTATGGTTGATCGACCACATGAAATATGTTAAAACTCGCGTAAAATCATAACACGAAAGAAAAAAACATACCCAACATTTATTCACTTCTCCTTACAAGAATACATGCACACAGTTACAATACTGAAAAAAATTGTTGCTGTGTGATACAGGTGAGCGATTTTAAACTAGCTGAAATCCACACATTGTCTTGATATGGAAGCCATACATGTACATATATTGTACAAGCTCTAATTATATCCAAATGTTACTTTTAAATTATTCATAAGAAGCAAGCACAATTATACAGAAATCAACAAAAAATTACATTGACATGTTTACAGGGCACCTTATATAACAGTCATGACTTTGTAGCCTAAAAGTCACACCAACCTTTTACGCGAAGATAAATATGATATTTAAAGGACTAGAGACCAGCAATCTATAAATTGTTTCTATTCATTTTGCTAAAATTTGGAATACTATATTCCCACAGTCAGCCCAATATACACATTAGTGTACTGAAAAACAAAGGTTGACCTTTTTCTAAATTTAGCTGAATCTTTATTTACCTTTTTTAACAAATAAAATGTCACAAGAACGTCAATATGTTTTAGCTTTTACATGAACCTTTTTTTCTTATAATATGAATAGTCATATTTGCTTAATACTTGCGGAATTATTAGGTGAACGCAAATGGTCCACATTAGGTTTGCTAATACAACAACAGTTAACAATTATAGTTTACTCTGCCCCTTCCTGTCCTTTTCATCAAATCATCATCGAGAGATTTTCAAATTTCTGCTTCACTTATCTGTATATTTTGACATTGTTCACAATATCTATTAATTTAAATCATTCAGTGAAACTATTAGTAGCCAACATTGCAATTTCCAAATATGGAGGAATAAGCTCTGCCTTCTGAACTGGTCGATTCTCATAGCGCACCATTAATGTTGTGCAATTTCTTGATTTAAACAAGCAAATTCGGGAAAACTTAAATGCATGGCAGTAGAAATGTCGGTTTTAGCATAGTGTGACTCATTGTATGTACGTGTTCTTTACCTGATCTATCAGGAAACAGTCCTAGGCTTAATGTTTTGTCTGAAAAATGGCAAAGTGATTTTATAGACTGACTTTTTTCATATATCTGCCTTATGCATGTGGTGGAGGGAGCGGAATACAATAATAATATATATAAATATCAATATATCCTTTTCACCGATTTATATATGATGATGTATGAAAATTGTAAGAATCGGCGAAAAAAGAAAAAAGAAATGAAATTAAATGATAATAAAAAAAAAACAAACAAAACACCCTAAAATTTGTCTATTTTGTGATTATGACTTCTGCAAGCGTTTAGAGGTACTGCTTCAATACAGTATTGACTTACAATACATCCAATTTTAACAGTGTCCTTTATGTTAGTTACATTAAACGGAGCGGAGTAAACTATAAGCAGGTAATAGTTCACATATTAGTCGCTCCTTTGTATTTAATTTGTATACAAGTCCATTTATGAACTATAACCTTAATATAACGCTTCCTTGCACTTAATGTGTATTAAATTCTAATATATGAACTATAACCTAAATAACGCTCCCTTGCACTTAATGTGTATAAAATTCTAATATATGAACTATAAACTAAATAAAACGCAATATTTAATAAAACAATATTTAGTAGCGGTCATGTAATTCACAACTTAATCCTCTTTGCAGGAATACTTTAATTTATACTTGAACAATTTTTAACTGCTTTGGTAGTATATAAATTTTCTTCATCGATTCAATTTAATGTCTAAAACTACTATCTTTACTTATAATGTTAACGGAATTTCTGGAAAAGACAAGAGAATTGCTATTTTTCAATGGTTGAAAATACAAAAGGTTGACATAAGCCTTCTCCAAGAAGTGCATTTCAAACAGACTGATAAAGAAAAGTGGGAAAAAGAATGGGATGGAACAATTATCAATAGTGGCAATTCAAGTAATCAGTTACATGAGTTAGGCGTATCAATTCTTTTCAGAAATGGTTTAAATATTCAAATTCTAAATACTTTTGAAATTGAGATCGGACGTGCATTAGCAGTTCATGTAAGGATTGAAAACAAAGAGGTATTTATCATAAATGTATACGGCCCAAATTAAGATGATATTGATATATTCTGTAAATTTGAAGCCTTCGTTAAAGACAGAAGTGATCACCTTTTTATTATAGGAGGAGATTTTAATGTAGTGCTAGAACCTAATATTGACAAACAAGGTGGTAACCCTCATACACATTTGAAATGTCGCAAAAAATAAAAAGAAAACTTGAAACTTTTCAACTTTATAATATATTTCGTGTACAAAATCCGTCCATTAAAAGATTTACTTGGCTTACAAAAGTACGGTTAAATATAGCGTGTAGATTAGATTATTTTGTTGTTTCAAATGATTTGGTAAATATTGTTGAAAAATCCGGCATAAAGCCTAGTTTTAAATCTAATCACTCAATAGCATATGTAACTTTAAATTTTGATCCTATAGTGAGAGGACCTGGTGTTTTTAAACTAAACAATAGTTTACTTTTAAATATAAAATTTAAAGACAGAATTATAATGCTATAACTGAAATACGTTCTCTTAATACAGACACAAACCCTTTAGTCAGATGGGAAGTTAGTAAAAGTACAATACGAAATGAAACAATAAGATTTTCAAAATATATAAAGAAAACAGAAACAGAACAAATTCAAAAACTTACGACAGAAATCGAAAAAAATTGAAACTGAGATAGCCTGCAATTTTGACGAAAATTTAAATAGAAATTTAGAATTGAACAAAAATCATAATTAGAACAGTTTCATAATGAAAATATCAATGGAACTATAACAAGAATAAAAAGTTTTAAATTAGACACTAGTGAAAAAAACATTAAATTGCTAAAAAACTTAGAGACTAGAAATGCTGAAAGAAAACTTATTAATAATCTAAATGTCAATTGTAATGTTACGTCAAACCAAAATTAAATTCTGAATGAGCAAAAAAATATTATGAAAGTCTGTACAGTGAAAAGATACAAAGAGACTCAACATATGACTTTTATGATGAAAATAAAATCCCTAAACTAAACGACAACGAGCAAGTATTATGTGAAGGAATTATTACAGAAAGAGAGTGTATCGAAGCAACTAAAACCATGAAAAATGGGAAAAGTCCTGGATCAGATGGTATAAACGTTGAATTTTATAAAATGTTTTGGAATGAAATTAAAAATGATCTAATAAATTCTCTTAATTATTCATTCGAAACTGAATCTTTAAGTCAGTTGCAGGCACAAAGTTTAATTACCTTAATCCCAAAACCAAAAAAAGATTTATCACTTCTTTCAAACTGGCGGCCAATAAGTTTATTAAACGTTGACTAAAAATACTGAGTAAAGTAATTGCTAATAGAATTAAACGTTTACTAAATAACGTGATCGACAATAGCCAAACTGGATTTATTAAAGGCAGATACATTGGTGAAAATATAAGATTGATATATGATGTAATCGAGTACGCAGAACAAAACGAAAAACCTGGAATATTATTTTTTGCTGATTTGAAAAAGCTTTCGATAGTTTGAATCATAATTTTATTTTAAAAACACTCGATCTATTTAACTTTGGACCAAATTTAAAAATGTGGGTAAAATTGTTATACAAAAATCCAACAAGTTGTATTCTTTACAATGGTTTCTTGTCGGACTCATTTAATATCAGACAAGAAGTCCGACAAAACTGTCCTTTATCTCCTTACATTTTTATTTTAGCAATTGAACTCATCTCCATAGCAATAAGAGAGAATACAAATATTAAAGGATTTAAAATATTTGATATAGAAGTAAAAAACAGCATGTTTGCTGATGATGCAACAATATTATTAGATGGTACAAATAACAGTTTCAAAGAAATGTTAAATATATTTGAGCAATTTTCATTCATCTCAGGTCTAAATCTTAATTTTAGTAAATGTACAGCTCTAAGAATAGGCCCACTGCGAAACCAGCACGATCTTATATATTGTAGAAAAAAATAGTAATATTTCATGGACATCAGAAAGTGTAAAAACACTAGGAATAACATTTCATTCAAAAACTTACCATATCCTCTAATTAAATTATGATAACAGATTATCTCAATTCCAAATAGACATAAACAGATGGAAAGCTAGACATCTCACAACAATTGGTAATATCTCAGTATTGAAATCATTAATAATTCTAAAATTTTCTGTTCTACCTAATCCTCCAAATAATACTGTAAATACAATTAAACAACAATGTTATGAATTTATATGGAGCTCAAAAAGGGATAAAGTCAAACGGGATGTGACAATACAGGAGTACAAAAACGGAGGTCTAAATATGATTGACATTCCTATATTTTTGAACTCAAAAAAATCGAACTGGATAAAAAGAATAATAAACGATTCAAATAATTGGTTGTGGAAAGAAATAATAAAAAAAAAATCATTTAGGTGGAATATCTTTATTTACATGCAATATAAACACAAAAGATATATTGAAATTTAAAATCAAAAATAAATTTATACACGAAGTATTAGTAGCTTGGAGTGAAATCAATTTTAATGAAAATCCGAAAAATATTTCAGAACAAATTATTTGGCAAAATTTAAACATAGAAAATAACAATGG